ACTAGCAACAGGCTGTTTTCTTGTTCCTCCATAGTCATGATTACCCAGGACTCCTCGACAGAATCTGCATTTTTAACAAGACCTCCAGAGTGATTCTTCAGCATATCACAGTTTGAAAAGCACTGCCTTCCACCAGTGCTTAAAACTTTGCCCGGGACATTGAGAAGCCAGGTGGGGGTGGGTTGGAGATAGGAATGTGAAACCGGAGCGACCCTTGTCTCTTCCTTTTTTTTTTTTTTTTTTTTTTGTACCGGGAATCAAACTCAGGACCTTGCACTTGCCAGGCAGGCGCTGTGCCGCTGAGCTATATCCCCAGCCCTAACCTTTGTCTTAAATACCAGCCCTGAGCTGGGGATGTAACTCAGTAGGTGAGCATTTGCTCAGCATGTTAAATGCCGGCATCAGCCAATCTGCAGCGTACACAGCAGCCTGCTCATGGGTTACAAGGTAGGGGTTCATTTTGCTCTTCTCTCTTCTCTGCTCCATAACCTTCTCAAGCCACCAGGACAGAGGAGGTTTCTCTAATTCTTTGCCTTTGCAGTTTGTTTTTCTAGGAATGCCCTGCCTTTCTTGCCTACTGAGCAAGCTCATCGTTTTCTTAAAACTCTGCTGCAGTCATCTACTGATCTTGTTTTGTTTGATTAGTTTGTTTGTTTGTTTTTGGTCTTGTGTTTTGAGACAGGGTCTCACTGTGCAGTTCAGGCTGACTTTGAACTCACTATGTAGCCAAGGTTGTCCTTGAACTCACAGCGATCCTCCTGCCTCAGCCTCCCAAGTACTGGGATTACAGGCATAGGACACCATACCTGGCTACTCCTGATCTATTTACCTCTTCCCTCTGTGCTCCTGTGACCCCAGGTACAGGTACTCAAGCATCAGTCCAGTCATTTGTTTAACAAACTCAAAATTACTGTCTTTCATTGTCTGTGGAGGGTACATTCCCAGATATCTAGTGGATGCCTAAAACCATAGCTCATATCAAACCCTATACATAATCACTAGGCCACCACAGACAATCTGCTAACTGAGACAGCTACTAAATGACTAATGGCCAGGTAGTAGATACAGTTTGGCTATACTGGACAAAGAAATAATATTGCTTCTACCTAGGCTAAAGCAGGAAGATGCAAGACTTACTCACGCTACTCAGTTAAAAACCTATGAATTGCTTATTTCTGGAATTGCCCATTTAATAGCTTTAAACCATAGTTGACTGTGGCTAACTAAACCACAGAAAGCAAAAACCAAGGATAAGGGCGATGCTTATTCAACGGCCCTCTGTGCTAGACAGTGGGTGAGAAACTAGAGACCTAGAAATGAATGAGATACAGCTTCCTCCGGGAACTCACATTCTAGACGGTAGATAAATGTACAAACAGTGCAGCATGGTGAGTGCAATTGCATCTGCAGGGGTATGAGAAATCAGGTGCCCCTGGTATTGCTGGAGCCTCTATAGTAAGGAGCCAGACAGTATTGTCACTGTTCACACAACTGACCTTCCAACTAGACTGCTGCTCAAGAAAAAGCTTATTCTGTTTTGTTGTTGTTGTTGTTTGGGTACCAGGAATCAAACTCAACTCCATGCTTGCCAGGCGGGTACCGTGCCACTGAGCTATATCCCTGGCCCAACCTATGTCGTATCCTTATGAGTATGCTCCAGGCTGGTAGGTCCCTGAGCAGATGAGAAGGAGTGAATGTCTATATCACATCCAAGGAAAGGGCAGAAATCCCACCATCCTGACATCCAGCCAGGGTGTGAGGGAACTGACCCAGGCAGCCAGGTGCAGAGGCTCCACTCCACTCCACTCCACAAGGGGTTGTCTCAGGTGGGTCAGAGGCTGCAAGGGTCACAGAAAAGGACTAAGCAGAGTCTCTAAAGGAATTGAATGCATCTCCCTATGAAACAATCAGGACAGCAGGAGATAAGAAATCTGATCAAATCTAGAGAAGAGACACCTAGGAAGATGGGAGAACTAGTTCACTCAGATGAGACTTAAGCAGGACCTCAAAGGATGTTGTTTGGTGTAGGTAAGAAGACAGAGGCATCCCAGGTAAAAATGCACCAAGAGCAAAGATTCCAAAGCAGGACAGACAAAGGTACAGTACATGGGCAGATGGCTCCTGTTACAAAAACAGTGGGAGGTGTATGTGGGCAACAAGGTGACACCAGAACACAGAAGGCCATGCACACATAATGCAGAGCTGAGAGAGGAGCCTTTGAAAGTTCCAGGACAGGTAAATCCCCATTGCTTTCACCACCTGTGAAATGAGAAAAGTCTTTGATTTGTGAGCAAATTGAACCTCCTTGGTTTTTGGTGAAGAGATGTGAGAGCTGGGTTTTGCAGAAGTCGTCATGGATTGCCTGATCTCGCCTGAAGAAGTTAGATGATAATGTGCAAACCACCTGCAAACTTTTCTTTATGCTTAGTAATTCAGTGCCAAGATGACCATCCAGGTCCCACCAATCACTCAGAAAGAGCAAGCTAACATTTTGTCAAAGAAAACTGTCAATGTAGACCTATGAGCAATCTGACATATGTGTGTGTGTGTGTGTGTGTGTGTGTGTGTGTGTGTGTGTGTGAAGTTGCAAAGACTAGCAAAAGACCAAAGGGCTGGAAGTCTTTTAAGGAAGACTTATCTACTGCCCCCAGTGGATAGGCTGCCCATTTCTAACTCCAATCATCAAATTCTGAGGTGCTAGATCCTCCATTACTCATGGGTGACCCCAGTCACTCCCCCTTTGGGGCTGCCTTCTCTTGGCAAGGCCTGCATGCTTCTGGAAACCTTCAGACATAGGAGCCTCTGGGGTTCTAGGGACCCAAAACCCTGCAAATTCAAGTAAGAAAACCACTCACTAAAGAATCTCTGACAAGAGATTCAGGTTGCTCTGTCTCCAGCAGACTTTCTGACCTTCGGAATGTCACCTCTCAGAATACCCTAGCCCAAGCTGTTTCCTCTCTTTCTCTGGATGGGTAGAGAGGTTTAGGTATTTTGGTTAAAGGGTTTTCTGCCTATAGAAATCAAAGTTAAGGCCAGGCATGTTGGCGCATGACTGTAATCCCAGCACTAGGGAGACTGAGGCAGGAGTATCACTGGGAGTTGGATGTCAGCCTGGGCTACATGAGCAAGTTCAAGACCAGCCTCAACTACATAGTGAGACTCTGTCGCAAAAAAAAAAAAAAATTCAAAGTTAGTAAGAGATGGTGATGAATCAACAGAAGATATTGTCATCCATCCTGAATGGCACAGACTGACTGGAATTATATCAAAGATAAAAGTCCAGTTTCTAAATGGCAAGAGGTGAGAAGATAAATCAAAGTAGGGAAAACACAATCAAAGGGGTTGCAGGGCTCAGCCTAGGTACTATGCCTAAACTATATCTTTTAGTCATTTATTTATTTATTTATTTATCTGAGACAGATATTTCTACGTAGTTCAGACTTGCCTTCAACTTGCAGTGAGCCCGCTGCCTCAGCCTCCCAAGTGCAGGGATCACAGGCATATCATCCTCCTCCTCCTCCTCCTCCTCCTCCTCCTCTTCCTCCTCCTCCTTCTTCTTTTTGATGATAATAGCAAAGTTTTATTGAAGGTAGGAAAAGAAACAGGCTGCAGAACAAGATAGGCCAAGTAAAATTTGGAAAAGAAGTACATCCTACAGTGTGAGGGTGGGCCACATATAAGAAAGAATGCAGTGGCTCCAAGCTTCTTTCAGTCACTGAAAAAGAAAATCCTATGAATCTTTATTTTATATAGACATAGCCCCTGATTTAAGATGGTTTGTCTTATAATTTCTATACTTTATGATGGTGTGAAAGTGATATGCATTTGGCAGAAACTGCACTTTGAGTTTTGAATTGTTCATGTTTTCCCAGGCTAGTGATTTGTAGTAAGATTCTTTCCCACAATTCTGGGCAGGGGCAGTGAGCTGCAGCTTCCAGTCAGCCCAACAATCACAGGAATAAACAACCAGTTCTGGGCTGTGCATTTCTGTCGGTGTATTAAATGCATTTTCAACTGAACGATATTTTCAGAACAGATGTAACCCCATCCAACTTGAAGAGCATCTGTGTAGGGAAAACAGCCTCAGATAAACTAAGTAAAGTTTGAAGAACAATAATAGCTAAATTGTGGAAGCAACCCAAATGTCCATCCACAGAGGAATGAATCAAAAAATTGTGGTATTTTTATGTAATGGAATATGACTCAGCTATAAAGAAAGATAAGCTTGAGGCTTTTGTAGGTAAATGGTCACAACTAGAGACCATACTCATAAGTGAAATAAATCAGACCTGCATGTGCAAGCACCACATTGTCTCACTAGTGTAAGAACCTGAAAGAGTGAATAAAAATTAGGAAGTATGATAGACATTGTGAAACAAAAGGAAGCTGCTCAAAAGTAAAAAGCAACTGGGATGAGGGAAAGGAGAAAAGAAGGAGGGGAAAAATTATGTTTATATGTATATACAGGATAGCTAACATGGTTGTACTACTGACTTCTATCGCTTTATTGAAAGGAACAGTTAATGATTAATTCTTTCATCTATCTTGCATGTCTCTATTTGTTTTCCTGAGAAACCACTTTGAAGATATCAATATGTAATATAACAACCATTGTTAATTTCCTACCACCTTGTCTGTATTTCAGTATTTCTTGTATTATAAATGGATGTCTGTTTGTTAATATGTTTTCGTTCTTTTATTTTTAAAAGAAATGAAAAGAAAAGTCTGAAGAGCAAGAGGTAGAGCCAGGATCTGAACCAAGTCATTTGACCTTGAAGCCTGTTCCCTACAATGTTCATCTTCCTGTCGCTGAATTCCATAGCTGATCCTTTCTGGGAGACTAAGAGAAAGCAGGTCTTTCTTGTGGGCCCCTGCAGGGCTGTTTTTATTTTAGGCAAAATTAGAATCCTACAGCTGGGGTTTCTACCCTCTACTTTGATTTCATGCCTACAGATGAGAGGAAAGTTAGTGGGGAAGCAAGGTTGGGAGGGGCAAGTACCGTGTTCTTCTTCCTCCTCCTCCTCTTCCTCAGCCCCATCTGCTGAACCCAGAATGGAAGCCAGACTCTGAACCAATCAAATTTAAATTTGGGCACAGCTCTACTTCCACATCGAAGTGTCCTGTGAGGATTGTGTGGATCAGCTGTCTTACCCCAGTTTTTCTCTTAGACCCAGGACAATGGATATAAAATCACAACCTATCACCTAATTCTGTATGTGAAAGGCTATCCTCCAATGCATGCAGTATTTGAGGAACTGGAAAGGGGCCCCTTAGCCCAGGGAAAATGTTACACCATAGCCCAGGAATGAGGCCACTTCCTGTCTATGAATACATCAGCTATGAAGAATCCTTTCCCCTCCCCCTCCCATACCAACATGTGTCTCCGGTATGTCCTGGACAGGATATTCCCTCCGGTATGCATATTGACATATTCCTTATTTAGAGGTAACAGGTGTCCTACAGCTAACCAAGAACAAAAAGGGAACATTCAGGGACTCTTCTCCAGGGCTACACAAGAACAGTTGATAAAAGGGAATGCATCAGTCATACACATGTTATAAGAGGACCATGACATCTGGAAAGCTTGGGAATCAGTCAAAAATGAGCTTGAGACTAGATAAGAAATCAGAGACCCAGCAAAGTTCTCCTTTATCTGGGCCCTGAATGGCTCAGAAGAAAGGGATGCAGAGGATGAGAAAGACCTGTGGCCATTAAGGAAAGGGGACCCCAGCTGAATACAGGCTGATCCCTAGATCTAGAAGACAGAATTCAGAACCACAGGATCTTTAAGACAAACCTTATTGTCTTATGATAGTAACTAAAAAGCATAGGAAAGTCACATTTCAGACCAAAAGTTAAATCAGTGGCTGTCCACTTTGGCAACTTATGAGCACCATTTTTAAAAAAGATAGACATGGAGGCTCTCCTAGGAATTCCAAATCAGAAGGCCTCTCATGAGGCCAGCAAGGAGTCACCAGCATGACCAATACCCACCCAGAAGAAAGAAACATTGGGGTCAATCCCAGAGCTCAGACCCCACTTCCAACATGGAGCTCAGACCCCACTTCCAACATGGAGCTCAGACCCCACTTCCAACATGTTCGTCCCCTAAACATTTCCCAGGATCGAAACCAGCCCCAGCATGCTTCGTCAGTGTGCAGCTCTCCCCCAGGAATCTCAGTTCTCCCAGGAGCTCCACACTGCAAACTCTACTTGCCCCACAGCCAGGACATAAAAATGGACAATTTCCACAAACCACATTTACTTAGGGATAATTTATCAGAAGAATCATTTGGCTTGGTTTACATTTCTGTGGTTCTTCTCAGCAGCTCACCCACGAACAAGTGTCCACATGAAGGGTCTGGTCAACGGAGGGTGTAAGGCCACGCAGTGGCTCAGCCAGCTTGCCTTGGGCCACGGCCCCACTCCAAGGGGCCAAGTCCATGTGCTCCCTTTTCTCATTTGGCCTGGTCCTCCACAGCTGTCCAGTTTTCCTGCCAAGCTCCCAACCCTCCACCTTTAGTCCCTTAACTGAAGCCAATGACAGCTGGGAAGTAGGCATCTGCAGTAACTCGTACAGTGGTTCAGGACACACAGAAAACAGAGTTCCTGCCACCATAAGATGAAGAGATCTCTTCTTTCTTCTCAAAAAGCTTGATCCGTCTTGGGAATGTCCAAAACTGTCTTTTTTTCACTTACATTATTTGGATCTGACCTCAGAGAGGGTTGAGCTGGATGCTGTGAGGGAGGAGAAGAAAGACACAAAATATACTCGTAAGAAGTAGTGTAAGGGAGGAGATGTGGCTCAAAAGTAGAGCACTCACCTAACTTGCGCAAGGCTCTGGATTCAATCTCCACCACCAAAAAAAAAAAAGGAAGTTCAATAGCAATATTAGCTGCCACTCACTCTTCTCATGTGCCTGGCCCACTGAGCTGCACATGTATCACCCCGGGGAGATAGGTATGGTTATTCCCATTTTAAGGATAAGGAAGTAGAGGCTCAGAGAGGCTACCTCTAAGTTAGTACTGAGCTGCTAGGTTACAGCATCAGAATTTGGACCCAGGTCCAACTCCAAAGCCTGTGATCTTAACCACTGTGTGCACAGATTTTAGAAAGGGAACCCAGCATCATGCTGTCGCTTGGTATTCATAAAAGATTGGTTCCAGGAGCCCTGTACCTACCAACACCCATGTCACTTATATAAATGGTATAGTAGTTGCATGTAACCTGCACATTTTCCTGTATACTCGAAATCGTCTCCAGAGTACTGATAATACCTTATACAACGTGAATGCTATGAAAATAGGTATTATACTATATCATCTAGGGAATAAGGACAAGGGGAAAGAAGTCTCTACATGATCTTTTTAGACACAATATTATTCCAAATATTTTCAGTCTGTGGTCGGTTCAATCTGTAGACTCAGAAAATCTGGATATGAGGCCAAATTTTACATTTAAGTAAATTTCATAAAGTCAACAACAGTAGCAACAAAAGTTAAAGGTTCTTTACCCTCGCCCCTCCATCCACCAGAGATCAGCTCTGTAATTGAGGTCTAAAACAAGTGGCCTACAGTCCAGGATTTGTCCACAGGCTTATTTAATCTGGCACACAGTATTTTGCTTTGTTTTTTTAAAAAAGACCTTGACCAGCCCTGACGGCCTCTGAGTTTGTGGCCTAAGCCTCTCAGGGACAGAGGTGCTGTTACATCACAGCACCTGGCATAGCATGTGGGGAAGGGAGCTGTGGGGGCACTGTCACTGCAACTACTATACCACTCAAGACTTTCTGCTGACACGCTAAGCAGTAGCCACTCTGTAAGGACCAGAACGAGGCTGGAGTTTACTGGAGCATTAAGCGGCAATAACAGGGAAAGGATGTAGGGGAAAATGACTCCATCCAACAACAGCTTCAGAGCAGGACTAATGTTTCAGTTGGTGGAACGAGGCCAGGTCTCTGACCTCACTGTTCCCTGGCAGACATTTCCCTGCTGCAGTCAGCTGGGCATCATGTGTCCATCCCTCACAGCCCATCATTCCATAAGCACAGGGGTCAGCCTTCCTTCATAGCTGGGCACCTATAACTAGTGAGCACTGAGCTATTGCCAACCAACTCCTTTTGTCCCTATCCCTACTCACTGTGTGCCCAGGTTCCTTTTCTTGGTACTATACTTCCCTAGCACCCCACAGAAGTGTGAGCTAAGACAGAGCCAAAGTCAGACTCCATGCGACTCGGCCTGCGTGGCAGTTAGATTATGTGGAAGTATTAATAAGGCACTGTTACGGTTTTATGGGGCACTCTTAGATGTCCTCCCAGAACCTCATGCTGTCATAGAGTTTTTTTCAAAGGTGGCTGAATCTAGAGTATGTGATTGATTTGTAGTGCCATGCTGGGATTAAGGGTGGGTGATTGCTGGATCAGTCCACTGATTGGATTAGTACCGCCCTAATCCCAGTAGACTGGCTACAATATTAGGAACAGAAAGAGCCTTGTCACTCTTGCTGCTTTTGCTGTCTTCCACCACCATAAACTATTGCCCCTCTTCCATGTGCCGCCCTGCCTTGGAGCCAGCTGATTATGGACTGAAACCTCTACAAACTGTCAGCTAAATAAACCTTCCCCTTTTTAACTTTGGCTCTTGGGTATTTTGTCCCAGCAATGAGGAAAGTAACTAAGGCACAGAATTAAAAAGCCTATGAGTGGAAAGGAAACTTAGTTTGACCTTTTAATAGAACAAAAAACGGTCCCTTGCCATGCAAGATTTGTCCAAGGATTCTAACATTCTCTTTACTAGGCCTTTCTTGGGCTAATAAGACAAAGACCTTTCCCTGCTCCCAGTGAAGCCCAGGCTTCAACTTCTTTCTCTCTAGTGATGATTTTAATCCTCAAGACTGGTTGTGAAGGCAAGTTTGATGATACACTTCTATCCAGCAACGCTTAGTTTTTCCAACTTTCCTACCAGTGAGGGAAACCTCAGCTGGCAGCAAAGAGCCTGGCCGGATGAGCTAGCCACACCCACCAAGCCTCCCCAGCTCCTCCTGGCACAGCTGAGGGCAGAGCGGGGACCCAGAATCATCCTCACCATGATCATGTAGATGGCCTCTGATTTTGCATTTGGTTCTTCTATCATCTCCAATGCAGCTATTGCGGAGTAAACATGTTTCTAGAGGAGGAAAAAATAGTACAAAGTTCCTAAAAATTAGGCAAATTTCATATACCAAGAAAAAGTCCTCCTACTCCTATTCATTCATAGGCATTAACCACCAAAACCAGTAAGTTCAGAGGGCTGCTAAGCGCTAGAGAATTATCAGCAAAAGTGATAATTCAGTCTTCCCAAAATCAACTCAGCAGCAAAGATCACCAGCATAAAAATCAAAAGCTGAACATCTTTGTTTCCTAGGGCACTGAGTTAGCATCAGGGAACCCCTGTCCTGCTAAATTACTTCTACTCTGTGGACATTTCCTTCTAATTAGGATCATGGTGTGATAGCATTAATTAGTAGCTAATTACCATCTCTGGGAGGATTTATACAGCGGAGACAACCCCCACTGAACCTCACATCTGTGAGGTTGATGACATTTTGTGATCACAATCCTGTCACTCTTTGGGAAAGCAATATCATCCAGTGACAAAATTGGGAGCTTCTAGAGGAATGTGTATGATGTTGGGGGCAGGAATCTTACTCTTGGGGCAAAAGCAATTCGAAAGATAGAAAGGTAGTTATTCTGAAAGGAGTTTTTGTAAGTTAAGAAAAGAAAGGAAGAGATGGAGAGAAAGAGAAATTAATACATTCCCCAGTCTCTCTTTATAACACCATTACAAACAAATATGGAGGAAGAAGTCCTTCTTGGTCAGATCTTTCGAAGGAAAAGTCCCTGAATACTTCATCTCAACCATTAACCCCTCAACTGCCCAAAGCATCATCAGTCTCCCTTGTATGTGCTCAGTGCCCCATGGGTTATGAAGCACTTGCCTATCATCACTTCATTTAAAACTTGTAACAATATTGAGAGGCAAGCAGGGCAGATACCTTCATCCTTATCCTCATTTTGCAGATGAGGCTCAGGGAGGTGGCAAAGCTTTCCAAATTCAAGTCTAGCATTCTTTCCTCAGCCCACCCCGGGATCTGTTGCCCAGGACTGATCTGGCTTAGCTCACCCTGCCCCACCATACTCATCAGAGGCCCAGCTGCAGTGCTAAAGACTTCCTGAGTCCCTGCCATGATCCCGGCACTGACCTGTGAGCTGAGATACACAGAGAGTAAGCCCAGGACCCCAGGACCCCAGGGGAACAGGAAGGGTACTGTCCTGCATCTACCCAGGGTCCTCCGGGCAGGCAGCAAAAGGCAGTGCTCTCTTACCTCCAGACTAGCCTTCCTGGTGTGCTCCAGACTTTCCACAATGGCGGTAGAGCTTTCTGAACTGCAAGGCATGAAAAGCACACGGAATGAACCAGCCGGCTGTGTTTACATAAATGTGTCTACACAGGACCCACTTGGCTTTGGGAATGTCCCCGGGGAGGAAGGAACTCCTTCACTTCTAACGGAGAGCAAGAAGCTACTAGGCTGAAACACAGCTTCAACTTCTCTACTGTCACCCTAACAACTTTATGTCCATAGTAAAAGGTATAATTTTAAGTGACTGAATATAGAGGGACACTGAATTTGACTTTAGCAACCTTTTGACATTTCTGAGGACCTGGAAGGTGAGCTGAACCAACAGGGGGCAGTACACGTCCAGCAAGACTCTAGTTCCAAGGGTCCCTGGCCTCTCCCAGGCAGCGCCAAGCCCAATTATCCCAACACCCAGCCAGTGAGCGCTGGCCCCTCCCTGTAAGGCCCTTTGCCTTTGACCTCTTGACCATTTGCCGCTGCGTTTGCCACTAAATGTACTTTCTTCCTTTCTTCCCCTCTCTTTCTTTCTATCTTTCTTTCTTTCTTTCTTTCTTTCTTTCTTTCTTTCTTTCTTTCTTTCTTTCTTTCCTTCTTTCTTTCTTTCTTTCTTTCATCTTGGCCCCTAAGGCAGAGATTTTAAAAAAGGAGAAGAAGGAATGAAGGCAGGGAGAGAAGGAAGAAAATCAGCTAGAAATAATTTTTTTTTCAGTGCTAGAGAATGAACTGAGGGCCTCCATGCAGAGTTACATCCCCAGAACTTTTTATTCTTTAACCTTTAAGTAGAGTCTGGCTCAGTTGCCCAGGCTGAAGTCAAACTGAGGATGCTCCTGCTCAGCCTTCCAAACTACGTGATTGGCAGCATGCACCACCATGCCCAGCAGAAACCATATATTTTTGTCTCAAAGTAGAAATATCATATTGTAAAGCTGTATATTCTCATTGTAAAATGAATCCAAAAAATACAGAAATGTAGACAGTTGGAAGTCGAAGTTGCCCTTCACCCCCACAGGATCTACCTTTTTTATCTTAAATATTATACCACTATTAAAAATTTAGGGCTGGGGATATAGCTCAGTGGCATAAGCGCCTGCTTGGCAAGCGCAAGGTCGTGAGTTTGATCCCTGGTACCGGAGTTTGATCCCTGGTAAAAAAAAAAAAAAAAAAAAAGGTAAAAATTTAGAATTACCCTTCTGAACCTTTCTCAGCACAAGCTTAAGTAAACTCACACAAGAGAGGTTTAGCGTAGATGCTCCTAAAGTGAGCATCACATAATTTCTTTTTATAAAAATGAGATCATACTATATATTCCACACCACTACCTCTTGGGTATCATTCCAGGTCTTTCTATAAAGACTTGTGTGGTATCTCATTGAATGAAATACCTATTCATTGAGTCACAGACACTGACAATGATTCCACCTTATGATTATAGATAAATGTATTTATGTACAAATCTCAGCATGGCAGTCTGGTTATTTCTTTAAACTACTGGATGTGGAAATGCTACCCGTCGCTGGGAAGGAAACAGAAGCCCAGAAGAGGGAAAGTAAGCTGATAGTGAGACCCACACTGTGTAGCTGTGGGTTATACGTTCTTAGCATGCCTAGAACACAGGCCCTCACAGAGGCCAACCAAGTTCAGGCCAAAGCAGAGACACCTGGGGACTGGAACTGTCAACTTAGCAGGCACAAGTGCTTTCTGTAGAATCCACATTCCCCTGGGAAAAAGTCAGTGTTGCAGGGCTGACTCAGTGGTATAGTACTTGCCTAGCATGTGAGGCCCTGGGTTTGATCCCCGGTACAAAAAAAAAAGTCAGCATTGCTTAGTTTCACAGGGCCCTTTCCTACTAACATGACTTCAACAAAAGAATCCACTTGCCCTGCTGACATACTTTACCAATAGTTGGGTAAACTCAGGGACCTGTCAAAAGCCAAAGAAACTCTGACATCCATGTGGAAGAATCTGAGCACTTGGAGGTTTTCTGTTTGTTTTTTTGTTTTGATTTTTTGGAGGGTTGTTTGTTTGCTTGTTTGCTTGTTTTTTGAGAGAAGGTCTCTCTATGTAGTCCAGGCTGGCCTTGAACTCACTATGTAGCTTAGCCTGGCCTCGAACTCATGGAAATCCTTCTGCCTCAGCCTCCCAAGTGCTAGGATTACCAGCATGCACTACCATGCCCAGCACCCATCTGGGCATTTCTGAACTACTGATGAAATTAGGCCTTTTGGCCTGGCATGGCACATGCCTGTAATCCCAGTACTTGGAAAGCTAAGGCAGGAGAATAATTGTGAGTTCGAGACCAGCTTGGGCTACATAGAGGGAGCTTGTCTCCAAAAAGAAAAGGAAAGGAAAGGAAAGGAAAGGAAAGGAAAGGAAAGGAAAGGAAAGGAAAGGAAAGGAAAGGAAAGGAAAGGAAAGGAAAGGAAAGGAACTAGGCCTTTAAAAACACTGTTCAATAATAATTCATTTAGAACCATGTCCCTTGTAGAATGTAGTCCTTTAAATAAAATCACTGGCAACTCTCAATATCTGGACTTTATGCATCGTATAATGTAGCTATTTAAGTATAAGTTCTCTCAGGCAGTGAATGGTACTACCATCATTCCTGCATGAGATTTATGCTCTCAATTATGCTCCAGTTAGACCCCCCTTGTAAGTTTATATAACACCAAAGTGAATGAAGACCATGTAGGAATGGCCACATCTTTTCAGGGGTACAATGAGAAAAGGGGCAGAGCTACCTGCAGCGACATCTAATGTGATAATAAAAACGATTCCATTTTGAAATGCCCCCAGTTAGGGCCCTCTCATTCCCTTCCACTTTGAGTTAGAGGCAGTCCTGCACCCTCAAGCCTCCCAACCAAGGGGTGGGGCAGCCTGTACCTCTTGTTCCTGTGCCTTTTCTTCACAATCACTATCAAACCGGTGAGCAGCAGGAGAGTGGCACAGACAATCCCCACGATGATCACCACGTGGGTTCCTCCCAGGATCTCAGATCTAGAAGCTGCTGGAATCACCAGTGTTTGGCAAAGGGGAAAAGCAATAGGAGAGTCTCAATATTCTCGAAAAGGGCTGAGAGCCACCCCAGTTCCATGCCAGGTAGCAGCAGCCAGGTCAGCAAGCATCGGGAGAAAACCAGACTCCATCACATACTGGAATACAGGGGACACTGGATACAGGGTCCTCATCAGAGTGAGGGCCAAAATCCAACCTCTGTGCTTACCCCTAAAATGTGGATGAAAGTGGGTGAGAGAAGGGGCTAGTGCTTCTCCTGTAGGAAAGTTCCCTTTTGCGTCAACAATTGTATTTTACATTTTGGGTTACCAAATGACCTAGAAATAACAGGTATTTTAAAGGTTGCTGATTTTTCTACGGTGACTGTTTTTAAAAGAATACACGCTACAACACTCCCGATGCCAGGAGGGCCTTCAGCGTCACTTCTGCCCACATGGCTTTCTTCATTCATCTCCTCTAGTCCCTCTAAACACAGATCTCCAGCGCTCCCTCGGGGCTGGACATCACTGCCACAGCGGATGCCAACAAAGACACATGATGCGTGGTCCCGGCCTCTAAAGACAGAGACAAACATTGAAACGGGAAGCCACCGGTTGCTAGGAGTGCTGTAGCGGATGTCTCTGTGGGCTACAGGGGCGTACAGAGAAAAGGAAACCCGATTCTGTGCAGAGCAAAAGATGAGAATCTGCCACCAAAACTGTGACAGTTTAATCTGAGTCTTGAAACGTGGGGCAATATGGGGAAAGGCAGAGGGGATGTCAGGCCTGACAGGAGGGAGCACACAGGAACCGGAAATAGCTTGGTAGCTGTGACGCAAAGGCATAGGGTGATTTGGCTGGAGAGATAACGTGACCCAGTCAGGATGGAATCTGATCATGTCCAAAAGATCATCTCCAAAAGGTCACCTTTTTTCTGTGAGCAGTAGAGAAACTGCTGCAAGACTAAAGCAGTGGAATGGAAAGCTGTGACTTGTGATTAGAAAGACGGCACTATCTAAGGATGGACATGGAGGCCGCTGAGAGGTCCACAGGCTGACAGAGGAAGACAGTCGTTAACTGAGGTGATGGTGAGCAGCTGGAAGGAAAATGACTGCTGAAGTCTGTAGTAGAAATGACCGGGCTTGTTGGAAGGTGTCTGAGGAGGAGGACAGCCTGACACTAGAGCACAGGGTGTCAGACAAAAGCAGGGCAGAAGGGATCCCTACCTGCCTCAGGATGGGGGGTGGAGATAAGAATGGGGATCTGTGGGTGGGGAAGGCTCAGAAGTGAGTGAACCCCCACAATGACTATCTCTGTGAAGCAGAGTCAAGACTCCCCAGAAAGAAGCACACAGACACAATGGTTCTCTAAGAAATCCATCTACCCCACTTCCCTCTCCGGCTGCTGGGGTCCTTCATTATCAATAGAAAGTGTCGCCATAGACTAAACTCTCCGGCCTGAGGTAGTGAGGTGGGTTCCTCCCACCCCCACGATTCCCCCACCTACCCCAGCCAACCACAGCCAACTGCTGAAGGTCTGATGAGAGGCAAAGTCCACAGGCCACATCCTGACTGCTAACTGCACTCTGGTTTAATTTTAACCCCTCACTGTTAACCACTCTCCTACAACACAATGGAATCTTTATTCTCCTACATACCACTGACTGATGTTCATTGTTCGCCAGAATGCAGAACCTTAGATCAGAAAACCCCTCCATTTTGGGTTCTGGTGCCATTTTGTTTTCTGTCTGTTCCTCGCTGTCCCTCACCCACTCAGAACCATTTTCCCTTCCAGGACAGAGTACACAACAACTCCCCCCATGATGCCAAGTAAAAATGACTTTGGACCCAATGCCAACCACCTCTGAGTTTTTGTATCATTACAGCAGTAGACCATACTGGCCCTGAGTGGGGTCACAGAAGGCTGGTATTCACCAAAGAGCAACCCCCCAATCCCTCATCCAGAAGCAGCAGCAGAAGCAGGGGGAGCAAGCTAGGCAGCTGAGGAGCCAGGCTAAAGGACCCATCACTCTTAGGGTGCTGCAAACCCAATACCAGCACCCAAGGGGAATGCCTCCTGCCACTAATGCAGGAGCCCTTCTGGACTCACTGCAGGGCCAGCCCCGCTAACAGCTGCAGTCCCTCAGCCCTTCCCGACCAAATATTAGATACTTTGAGACTCCTGGATCACGTGGAGCGTGAGGCTATTCCTGAACATTAGGCTCCCCAGGTAGATACTACAGGTGTAGCGTCCTTTGTCAGACTCCTTCACTCTCTGGAGCATGATGGCACCATCGTTGTGGGCAATGTCCACCAGGGTTACACGGTTCTGGAAGCGGCCCTGTGACTGGGGGTACCTCACAGGATTGTTGAGGTTATAGAGTAGGACAGTCTCCTCCTAGAAGACAAAGGCAAAAAGCATGAGATTTCTAGGACTAGTAGGGAGGACGTATGGGGAGGAGAGGGGGTGAGAAAATCCCAGGACACACAAGACCCTGTACATGAAAACAGGAAAGGTATTGTCAGAATGAAAATGGTTGATAACACAAAGTTGTGTACACACACATGTACATGTATGTGTGTCCCTGAAGGACATCACTAAACCATGAACAATTGTTCCAGCAGAAGATATGGATTTTTTAAAACTGAGAATAAAGAGCTTTTAGCCAGCTATGGTGGCAAAGACCTATAATCCCAGCTACTTGGGAAGCTGAGGCAGGAAGATCTCAAGTTCAAGCCAGATTAGGCATCTTAGTGAGACGCTGTCTCAAAATAAAATAAAAATGTGAAAAGGGATAGGAGTACAGCTCAGTGGCAGAGCACATGCCTATACTTCTCCAGTACATATTGAAAAAAAAAAAAAAAGCAAAAGTGCACTTTTGTTTTTCATGGTATTTCCAGTTGGATTTCAAACAAGCACCCGAAACATATCTAAGCCTGAACTCCTCATTCCTCCCCTAAACCGGTTCCTTCCGTTCAGTGCTTATCTTCCAGATGCTTATGTTAAAATCTTTCTTAATTCTCTTTCTTGAGCAACTCACATCTAACTCCTCAGTAAATCCTGTCACATCTACCTTCAAACTACACCCTGAAGCCACTTCTCATTGACCCCACCATGTCACAATCCTGGCCCAAAGCAGCACCTCACCTCTCCCCTGGATCCCTCAAGGGCTTTCTCACCTGTCTCCCTGCTTACTTTTCACGGCAGTCTACTCTGAATGAGCCTTTAAAAACTTAAGCTATGTCATGGGCACACTCCTCTGCTCACAACTCCTCAGTGGCTTCTCGTACCCACTGAAAGCATGAGGTTCTACACGATCTGCCCAGGTCCTCTCTGGCCCTCTGATTTTTTTTTTTTTTACTTGTTCTTCCCTCACCAGCCCAGTCACAATGACTTCCTTGCGCTTCTTAAGTGCTGGCCTCAGGGCCTTTGTACTTGCTGCTCCCTTAGGACTGGAATACTTTCCCCCTTCCTCAGACATGCATGTGGTTCCCTCCCCTCACTTCCTTAGACCACTGCTCAGATGTCACCTTGGTAAGGTCACCCTGACCACCTACACAAAACACTGCTTTATGGTTCTCTATAGCTCTGACTACTATTTGATATAGTGTACATTTGTTTCTTCATTATTTTATTGTTTCTCCCCTCCGTCTTAATTGTAAGTCCTCCATTAGGGGCTGTGACTGTTGATCACACAGCACATACTTTAAAAATAGTTGGTAAGTGAATGAGTGCTGGAATTTTTTATGAAGGTATGTAGATTTTTTTAATACTTTAAAGAAAAGGTAATGGATATACAGACACAAACACAAATGCAGAGACCTAACCTCTGGTGTCTGCTGTGAATCATTTGATGAATGACATTTAAACGCATAATGAGAGCTGGGTGTACCCCTGTATCCCAGCACTGTGGGAGGCTGAGACAGGAAGATCACAAATTCAAACTCAGCCTGGGCAACTTGGTGACATACCAAAACTCTGTCTCAAAATTTAAAAAAAAAAAAAATTAAAAAGAGTTATGAGTGTAGCTCAGTATGAAGGCCCTAGATTCAATCCCTAGTGCAAAAAAAAGACAGAGTCTCAGTACCCTTGGGCTCACATGTAATTCCCTGTATCCCACCATGACACCATCTTCTCTGACTGACTCAAACAGTATACAGAGCTGAGTGAAAAAGATTTTTTTTTTTGCAAAAGTATGACCTGAAATACATTTTACTTCATAAGAATGAAATCTTTTATGAACTTTGCCCCTTAACTTTCATTAATAATAAATCACCTAGAACACTCTTCACAATACACATTGACCCATAAATACATTGTCTCATCATGGTTGAGAACTACCAGTCTACTAGGCTAACTTCCTGTCAACCGCTTTACAGAGTTCCCATGAAAAATTCTACCCTGATCCATCGAAATGTGATCATATTCTTAGGCCTAGCCATAGCTTTCTATCTAGGCCGGAAAAATTGTCCCCCTTATTCTCTCATGGCCGCTAGGACAAGAAGAAAGAAGAAAATGCAGCCAAGCCATGTACAAAAAAACTCCATAAGTATGATTTTATATCAGGGTCTTGACAGGCCTAAAAGTTAAGCCCTTCCCTTCCTCCTTCCCCCTCTCCATCATTCATTTTGTACCCATTAAGAAGACGGAGTCACCGCCAAGTGGTTGAGCCAGGCTGTATCTCTCAGCTCTGAAGCCCAGGCTCTTGCAAAACTATCCGCCTTGTGGTACCTGGTGACAGACCCTCCCTCTCCTGCCTCTGTCCTGCCACCAGCCAAGGGCTTCCAGGACACAGTGAGTCCCCCTCCTCATTACCTTGGCTTGCTGCCCCGAAGAGAACATCCAGTATACCTTGGTCACACGCTTCTCTTCTGTGCTCTGGAAATGACATCCCATCAGAGCTGACTCACCCTCGTGAACTACGATCTCTGGGGATAAAGCGGTAAACCAAGTTAGACCAAAGTAACACCTATAGAAGTTAAAGAATTTCTAGAAGACATAATGGCTAGCCAAAGACCTTCAAGAGCAAAAATTACCAGCACTACCTAGCCCCGCACATAACCCCTAAATAGAAGATCCAGATGATTCTGTGTGAATGACATACTCAGAGACTCTTCACGTAAACTACCATAGCATCTCCAAAGTCAAGAAATACCTCCTAGGTGCCCACAAATACCACATATGAAGTTTCTGCTGTCTTCATACTGCAGTAAACGCCACTTTATTTTCTTTTTTCCCCTTTCCAGAATTCCTCCCACGAACTCCAACCCCCACATTGAGTCTGTATTACAGAAAATACAGAAAGTTTCAAAGCCCCTGTTCTCTATTCACCAACCTTGATACCCACATCTGCATAGCATAAACAGGAAGTGGAAAGTTAGAAAACTCTCATTCTTATATTTAACCCACTGGTTCTCCTAACTGAAAGCATGAATCACGGGTAACTTCCTTCAGATTATTTTGTTCTTTTTACATGTTGTCTTAGGCCTTCTTTAAGACCTACTTCTGGCTTCAGTACAGGTCATGGGGCTTCCTGCTAATTAGGCTCAGACAATAGACAGCTTTCTCCTTGACTTCTCTTACTGTGTTAATCCTGCCCCCCTTCCCGTGTGGCTGCCTTCCCCTGCTTCTGGCTCCCCAACTCCTAGGTCTCCCTCTGCCTGCTTGTGCAAGCAGCTGCCCCCACAACATGCTTACTGCAAAAATCATTCCAAAAAGTCCCTGAAAAGAAAACAAGTACAAGGACATTTCTGATTTTTCCACAATGCCCTCCACAAATCAATCACAAAGTTAACTGAGAATGGAAAGGTAGGAGGGTGGGTATACAAAGAAACAGAGCCTAAGTCTTCAGACAGTTTCTTAAATTCAATACATAAGCCAATCTTTCATCAGAACTCTTTCCCCGGGAAAACATGAGCTTCCTGCCCAGCAATGGAAAGAACCCAAAAAATATTATGAACTCTAAAGTCAGTGGAGGGAATTATTTTAAAAGTGATGAAAATTCACTTCAATGAATATCAGTAGAGAAAGAACCTCCGAGTCCATCAGCACACAGAGAACTGAACTGTATTTTTAAATGCAATAATAATAACAGAATTCTGAATCCTTTAATGCACCAAGTACATGCTAAGCACCTTATAAGTAGTCAATTAGTCATTAATATATATATAGTATATATTTATATATGAGGGTATTACTCATATTTACAGTATATAGTTTTATTGGTGGATGATGATGTATATGTATTATATATGTGTAATATATAATATATATTTATTAACTACATATATACATGTATACAGGATATACATAATTTGGTGGAGATAGAACCTAGGGCCTCACCCACGTTAGCACTATCCTTGAGCTACATGCTAGCCCTCGTCATTACAACATTTTGAGATAACATACTAGATTACTATCCCATTTTATAGAAGAGCCCGCAGCCATATAGCCAGTAAAAGCAGAGCTAGCGCATTACCCTAGGCCTAAGTGAAGACAAAGCCTACGTTTTCTCATGTACCATACTGCAGTCATTTCACGTGAATAGAAGAATGAGCCAGACATGGTACACATACCCATAATTCCAGCAGCCTGAGAGGCTGAGGCAGGAGGTTGGAAAATTTGAGCCCAGCCTGGGCAACTTAGTGACTTAGTGAGACCCTGACTAAAAAAAAAGAATAAGGGCTGCGGATTTAGCTCAGTGGCAAAGCACCTGCCTGGCAAGCGCGAAGTCATGAGTTCAATTCCTAGTACTGGAAAAAACAAAAACAAAAAAGAATAGTAGTAGCAATAATAATAACAATAATAATAATAATAATAAAAAGGATTGGGATGCAGCTCAGTGTGGAGGCTCTGAATTCAATCCCCAGTACTGCAAATAATAATAATAATAATAACAATAAAATAAATAGAAGTATGTCCTGTTCCAGAACATAAGGATAGGAAATTGATATTATTTTTAATCTATACTGTTTAACATAAGTATTAAAAAAGAATTGAATAGTAGAACCATAGAAAAATTGTAAACTGAAGGGCAAACTTTGCAGAGAAAATTATAAATGACTGAAAAATGGAGTCTCTACATGAGAAGAGACAACTTCCATAAAGCAATTAGACAACTTGCCACTGAGCCTGTAGGAAAAATTGCTAGAGACTGGATCTGTCCTCATTCTGGCTGGAAGGGGAAAAATAAATGCAAGTTCCCCAACAGGTACTGGGAAATACCTGAGTACCCTAGTGCTATTCTAGCCTATTTCTATGGTTTCTTTAGCTCTTGACATTGTTTATCATTGGTTCCCTCTATGTCTCTCTCAAGTAAGAGTGGGCACCCACTTGGGGAGCACCCATTTTGTAGACTGTATTTGGACAGACAAGTTCTCAGCCATGACATTAGGGAACAAAGACAGAAAAAGGAAGCATAAAGAGAATCTTTGGGAAATGCAGGCATCTGACTTGCTTCCTCCCATGGGAAGCACAACTTTGAACTGAAGAGAAAAAAGACAAAGGGGAGAAATAGGGAAAATAAGGAGAGATGCCAGAGGTCACCTGCTACAACTTCATTTCTCAGAGATCAGAGGCAAGTGAAGATCACTAACTAAAAAATTTCATTTATCACAAGTTATATTGGTTACTTACTCTGTACCAGGTACTATGCCCAGAGCTGATCAGAGACAAAGAACACAAACCAGGGCTGGGGATTTAGCTCAGCGGCAAAGCGCCTGCCTGGCAAGCGCAAGGTCGTGAGTTCGGTTCCCGGTACCGGAGAAAAAAAAAAAAAAAAACCCAAGGAAGTAGAAGACACAGCTGAATGGGTGGGCTGGGGTTCGTAAGGAGGAAGGCAGGGTGCTCAGGAGGAGCTCCTCCATAGAGCTGAATGGCTAAGGACCTACGCTGGCTCTGGGGAGAGAGTCCCAGATTCCAGCTCCCTGATAGACAGCAAGCTTCCCTGAGATCAGAGACTAGAGAATGCACCTAATTCTATTATTTGCAAATACTTTTTATTTATGTACTTTTGTTTGGAAATATTTGCATTAGTATAGTAAACTTTTAGAGACACTGGATGTCATTAGTTTGGATATCATTAACTTACTATAAAAGATAGGTGTAGAAATTGTTTACAGGATAAAAAATTCCAGAATGTTAGTGGAATGACTAGCATCAGGGGATGCCATGTCAGCAGTGATGTATTTCAGACCAGCTAGAATTTCACTGTCTCTAAATAAGAAATGATCCTTGTTAACTAAAATTACCCTTCATGTAAAATTATGTATATATGTATATACAGGATAGCTAACATAGTTGTACTACTGACTTCTATCACTTTATCAAAAGGAACAGTTAATGATTAATTACTTTGATCAATCTTGCATTTCTGTTTGTTTTCCTGAGTAACCACTCTGAAGTTATCAATATGTAATACAACAACCATTGTTAATTCCCTGTCACCTTGTCTGTAATTCAGTATTGTTTGTACTATTCTTGTGCTACTTTGTAAATGATTGTCTGTTTCTTAATAAGTTTTTGTTCTATTACTTCTAAAATAAAAATAAATAAATTAAATTAAATTACTCTCCATGTTCTAGGACAGTGATGGCGAAGATTTTAGAGACCAAATGCCAAACTGCAACCCAAAGCCACTTATTTATCACAAAGGGCCAACACTGCAATTAAACCTGAATACTGAGGTTTTAGTTAAAAAAAAAAAAAAAAAAAAAAAAACAAACCTCGTACATTAATATCTTTTGTCTTAAAAGAAAAACACAATAGCATGTGTACCACACGTCCACCACTGTGTTAGGGAAAGGATTTATTACCAACTTTCCTCCTATTGCTTTACTCTCTCCATCCTTTGCTCAGAAACCAGTTGGACAGCTACCTCTGTTGCCTGCATTACCTGTCCTGAGGTTTTTCTGCAACCAAATGTTCTACCCCTGAGCTACGTTCCCGCTTCTGAGGTTTCTCTGGAAGCATAATGTGTCCTTCTAATTACAATCTCAGCTACATTGTTTTCAACTAATAATACTTGGTCAAAGAGGAAGGAACCTTCTAAGGACTCAGGCTGCCCCAGCTTATACTCTCACTTTCAAATTGTTTTAAAGCAGAAGAATCCTTCCTTCAAACAAACGCTGAAGCAGGAGCCCAATTAAAAAGCAACAAAACAAACAAACAAAAAACAGGAAAAAAGAAAGGACTCTGGTTGCGATGGAAGGCCGGGGTCCCATCTGAGCGGGTCTTCTACAGACCTCTACTCTGTTCTAGCTTTTTGGGCTGCTTGAGACACCTGGAGCTTACAATTTCTAAAAAGGGACAGACAATGTTAAAGCCACAGATCTGTTGAAGCCACTCCCTCCATTCACAGATGGGGAAATGAGGTGCAAAGACATTAGAGAGATCTGCTTACTTCTTTAATAACCCTGAGACCACCTACCATAGGTGCCTATAATACATGGATATGGATCAATGTGAATAACTGAGGGGAAGTGTCAGAGTACAGTGAAAAAGAACATAGAATTTGTCAGAAGTACCACAGTCCTAGTACCAGTGAGCCACTGGTGAACGTGTAGCCTGAGGTAAGTCCCTTAACCTCTCTAAGCCTTAGTTATCTTCCTCTGAAAAATGGAAAGAACAGTATGTTCTTCACAGGGTTTTCTTGAGAGGGATGTATGTTTGTAGCAATAACTATCATAATTTTTATTTTATAAAATAATCATCATTTATTGAAGACTCAGTCTGTGGTGAGTACTTAACTCAAAGGTGGATTTGCTCAAGAAACTCACTCCCCTGTCTCTGGCACAGTGAATCTCTTGCCCCTTGGGTCTTCCCCTACCTTTGGGATCCTCTGGTAGCACATGCAGCACCACTGCTTTTTTAAACACTCTGCTCTCATTTTCAAGGCGGATTTCACAGGTGTAGTTTCCCTGGTCAGCCTCTTGCACATCTTGGAGCAGTAGAGAACCATCATTTTGGGAGACATCCCCCACCAAGCGCGAACGGTTCTTGAAGCGCCCGCAAGGCACCGTCAAGTTGGAGTAATAATACAGTACGTATTCATCCTGGAGGGCAGCACAACAGGAGCAAATCAAAAGAGGAGCCAACCTAAGAGTCTGGATTCCAAGAGCCCAGTTAAAGGGAGGCAGCATAGTCATCCCCATGATCACCATCACCATCATCATCATCATCAGGAAATTAATAATACCCAGTTAATAATAATAAAAATGCCCCAGGCAACTTTCTAACTTGTACAAGGTGCTGTGGCTCATTTTCTACAAAGACAAATGGAGAAATTGGTTGCATACATTTCTATTTCTTATACCTTCAGGAAAAATGTTACACTCACTCTGAAGCTCACTCTGGGGATTCAAAATCACAATTTGTAGAAATCATATCTTAGTTTCACCCTGTTTCCTGCCAGGGCGGCCAGATTCAATGGCATTCAAGTACATGATCTAATCCCTCTGGCACAGCGGGCTGGTGTTCCCGGAATGCTTGCTGCTGCTCCTTCTTGTTTCTGCCCTCCTCCAGCCAACACATCATAACACAAAAGAAGGTGTCATAGACAGGAAATGGTTACAGGCTGGGAGGGGGAGCCCTGAAGAATTCTTATTTCTGCTTACACCATAGCTATACCCCTCATACAATAATAAATAGTAATAAAATTTTGACCGACATTAGCTTTCCAGAGATGACAATAAACATGCTCTGAGCTACAAAAACAATATTTCATTTGTAAATGTTGGGAATTTATCACTGGTAGCAAACTGCTTGGGACACATTTCACAAATGAATCTCTGATAAGACTTAATACTTCAGTTTCTTTCTCTAAAGAGTTCCATGAGCGACCCTCACCCAGCCACGGTGCACCTGCTAATCCCAACCTTCCAAGTAGGTGCAAAGGAGAAAAAGATGATTCCCAGAACAGTAGAATATTGACAGAATGTGCTACCCCACCCCCAACATGCAAGATAATGGCCCCACTGTTCTTCCGCCTGGCTCATACTCTTCTGTCTAGACTACAGAAATTACCCCTGTCACCCACCTTCTCTCTTCTGCAAAGGGCAGAAGAGAGAGGAAGGAAGTGAAAAGAACTTCATTTGCATGTCTCATATGTGCTCTTCAACCACCTGAAGTTTATGTATTGCCAGTATTATAATTACCTTTCTTTTCACTGATCAAGAAGTTGGAACTCAGCAAGGTTGGGCAATCTTGTCTGCTGATCGCACAGCAAGTGGTTGTTCCAGGAGGAGGCTCAGGTATGATGCCCTCTAAAGCCCAAGCTCTTGCAAAACCATCTCATAGCACCTGATGACAGATTTCCCATCTCCCCACCCCACTCTGACACCATCAACCAAGGGTTCTACGACACAGTGAAGTGTGCTTCTCATTACCTTGCCATGCTGTTCGGGTGAGTGTGTCCAGTCTACCTTGGTCACACTTTTTCCTTGAGTGTTCTGGACAATACATCCCATCAGAGCTGAATCACCCACGTGGACTGTTAGCTTAGGGTACAAAGCATTCAAATCATTGAGGCCCAAGGAATAATCTAGAGAAATCAAAGGCAAGAAGAAACATCATTTAGACAAATACCCTCAACTACTAAAATCACTAAGTACTGTACACCTCCACTTGATGATACAACATAGACCAAGCCCTAGAGGCCCTTCACTGAACCAGCACCACATCAACAAGGATAGGATAAATATCCTCTGGTTATCTGCATAGCTCAAATTTGAAGGATTCTATAATCTTTATACAGCAATAAGTGGTTTGGTTTTGTTCTCTTCTTTTAAAGAGTCTCTTCCTCTTTGCTCAAGTTCCTGGAGTTCCTCTTTCCAACTTTTCTAAAGGAGAAAAGGAAATCCTGAAGTCCTCCTTATCAACTTAGATACCCATATCCACTTACCATAAACATGAAATGGAATGTTTCTTGTTCTTAAATTTCCCACTGGTTTCCTATCTGAATGGCCAACTCCTCCATATTTTTGGTTTTCTTCCTCTTCTCCCTTTTGTTAGTTCCTTCACAAAAGCTCATCTCTGCATTTGCTAGCTGGTTCTGCCTGCAGTGCAGGTGCTTGTAAGTAGGCCAAGACAGAGCACAGCCTTCCCCTTTGGCCTTTGTGTTTGTCCTCCCCCTGCCTCACCTTCACCCCAAGTTTTGCCATGGACCCTACTTTTCAGCCTCCAGGCTTTTGCACATAGGGACCATCCTCCCCCTATTATCTGAATGTTGCTCAAGGACTTTAAAAGACCACTAAAAAAAAAGCAAACCATTACATAGATATTTCTGTTTTCATAAGATATGCTCCACGCAGAGAAAACAAAATCAAGAGAGACAAATTTAGATGCTGCCCAGTTCATATCAAAGAAGAGCCAAGAGAACACATATGGGAATGAACAAAAAATGTGCCAGTTTTTTATCCAAGCTGTTTCCCTGAGCGAAGAGAGCTAACTTCCTGCCCAACAGCAGGCTCACACAGTAGGGAGGACAGAAAAGAAAACATGAACTCCAAATGCTTTGGAGGGAGTTATTTTGAAAAAAAATCAAAATTAGCTCCAACAACTATTTGGAATTTTCCTATGAGAAAAAGTTGCACAGTTGGATGTTTGGCTGAAGGTACCAATGAATTTAATATTAAGAACAATGGGACGGGCACTGTGGTGCACACCCATAACCCCAGCACATGGGAGGCTGAGGTAGGAGGATTGCTGCAAGTTTGAGGCCAGCCTGGGCTACAAAGTGACCCAAGGCCAGTCTGCACTACATGGTGAGACCTCTCTCAAAAACAAACAAAAAAACAACAATAACAACAACAACAAAAAAAAAAACAGTGCCTGTACAATTAAGTGAAGGACTGTTAGGAAACAATGATAGCAATCAAAGCAAAGAGAAACAGGTCTGAAGCTCTGAAGGGTAATCTTGGCAGAGAAGTGGATAAAGAAAATGAGACATTCTACAGAGAAGGAAAAGTTCTGGAAGACGGGCAAAACTCTATCGATGTTAGACTGAAAACTCCCTTGATAGAAGAGAAAAACTCTGCAGGCTGCTTTACACATCTCTATGGCAATATTTACACTCCCTCTGAGATAACTATAACCCTTCTGTGAAAAACATTTTGTGTGCGTGTGTGCATACGTGTGTACATTTGTGCACACTCCATATCCCTGAACTTTGAGCAATGGCAACACTTTTGAGTACCTTCCTGAGTCAGTGTTTAGTTCATTTTCCATAGTTCCACAGATAATAATAAAGAGAAAAATAAAAGGCTATGAGAGCAACGTACCTAATTAATTTGTTCTTCCTACATAGCTATATCTATGGAATGAGGAGAAGGACAGGGAGAAAAGAGGAGTTCTCAAAATGAGAAAGAAGTGGTGATGAGCAGCAGGAAGAGGTCCTGAGCATGTGAGCAAGGTACGAGCAGGAGACGCAGACCTTGCCTGAGGAGAAGGCCAGAAGGGACTTCACGGAAGGAAGTGGAGCCTCAGAAGAAACTCAGAGATAAAGTGAGGGACTGAGGGGAGGGAAGGAGGAAAGGTTCCAGGCAAAGGAAACCACCACAAATTGGGAAAGAGTTCAGTGCTTTTGAGGAACCACAAGAGAACTAGCACAGCTAAGGCATGAAAACGATAAAGGGATCTGGTCCTGTCTTTGGAAATATAGTTCCAGATCTGAGACTAGCTGTGTAACAACGTTAAGTGCCATAGAGTAACTCTCTTTCTATCACACAAGAAGGCTATAGAATATACAGTAAGGACCTGAAGACATTCTGTGTCTGATAGAAACAGAAAAAGCTTCCCCTCTCCAAGAAAGTGAGCATCTGCTTCTGAAACAGTTGTTTTAGCAAAACCATCAAGTTCCAGTTTATATCTCCATCCTCCACAAATCAAAGGGAACTGAAAATACAAAAAGTTGGCTTTTAAAAATGCATGAGACCTACAAGAAATCAAGAGATCAAATACCACCATCCACTTACCCAGTAATACCGGCATCAGGATGAGCTTCAGTGGGCAAAACATGCTGCTCACAACTTCTAAATCTTAAAAGGAAAAAAATCACATAAGTAGGAGTTCATTAACTTAACATGCCAATAGTGTGTGCCTGTGTGGGCCAGCCTGTCCAAGGTGCTGGGAAGCAGCACTGAACCCTCAGAACAAGGTCCCAGCTCCACCACAGTGTACATGTTGGGGAGGATGGGAAAAAAGAAGCAAATGAATGAATGAAAGAATAAGAAAATACCAGACGTTGATAAGTGCTATGATGAAACAAAACACACTGAAGTTTGCAGAGTCACTTGGCGGCTGCTTTAAATAGGTCATAGGAGCAGATTATATGAAAGTTGTTTTTGAAGAGAAAAAACAAAGGATTGCAGGATGCCCTTGAGATGACAACCATAGAGATTCCACAACCTGAGTGTTTCACACAAACATAATGTTAGAGGATACCCAGCTTGACATTTTCACCTACCACTCCAACTAAATCGGAAATACTACTTTTACATATATGAAGAATGTTCAGCCCATGTGGGAGAAGAGGTTAAAAAATAAGGAGCAATTTTAAACTCAGTTAAGTACCAACCAAACTTAGGACAAAAAGAAGCCAAATGAAAGGCTCATGGTGACCTTTTTTTTTTTTTAACTTTGTCAAGGCGGAAAGAGCAGTGTGGGTAGAATTGAGAATTAGACTGTGCAAGGGCAAAAGTCTTTCTCTAATGTCTGTATTGTCTCATGGTATTAATTTCATGGCATTCATGAGCTCCTGAAAAGGGACTCATTGTTCCACCCAAGGCCCCCAAGTTTTCTCTGCTGAACAGTGGAATCTTAACACCAAAGAGTTACAATTCAACCAGTCTTCTGTTCCTACCTACTACTGTGCCTGGTCTCAGCCATCCTATACGCCTGGCCACCCTGCTGCTAGAGGAAATACACTTCAGAATCTGCTAAGAAGGGGCTGGGGATTTAGCTCAGCGGCAAAGCGCCTGCCTGGCAAGAGCAAGGTCGTGAGTTCGGTTCCCGGTACCAGAAAAAAAAAAAAAAAAAAGAAACACAGAATCTGCTAAGAAGAAAGCCCTCTTTACTCTATTAATAGCAAGTTACAGTACTTCACCTGGCTCTGCTGGGACATCTGTCACATATGGTGGCTATTTTTATTTGTGAAAAGTAATTCCCTAAGAGATTCCTTACCTCTATCATAACCAACAAAATCCTCCACCTGGAAAATCAAGGCAAACTGCTCAAGGAATTTCTTTCCTCAGGTCCCACTTGACCTTATTGAATCTCAGTTCACTGACCTATTACACAGCAATAACACAAGGATCAAGTCTGGAAATGTGGATAACAGTGCCTTGGAAATATAGAAAGTATTACCACAGAAGACTCTTATTTTCTTTAACCCAAGAGTCTAAAAGAAAACAGTTTGTAGCTTTAGGGAAGATTTCAGATGCTGAGTTTTAACCTTCATATGAATGGCAAATGATGAATCAGAATAAACTGGAAGCTTAAGTTTCCATTTTGAACCTCACTGTAACAATGTGGTTTTTTTTTGTTTTTTTTTTTTGTTTTGTTTTGTTTTTCTCCGGTACCAGGAACCAAACTCACGACCTTGCGCTTGCCAGGCAGGCGAACAATGTGGATTATAATTAAATTGATCCAGTTATACAAGGAGTTCGCCAAACCCAAGGACCTCTCATGAAAACGCAGAGTTCTCAAACTGGCTGGAGCTGTTTGTACTTCACAGGCCCGCTTCACCCCACACATACAGGGATAAAGGTCATAAAGGGCTTTCTTTTTATCATCCCCTATCATCATATCCAGATGTTTGAAATTCCTGCCCCTTCAGGAAGAATCTTTCCCCCAGGCAGTTGGTTGTGCTCCCTCCTCTGCCCAGCAGAGGACCTGAACATTCCCCAGCAGCACACCATTTACACAGAGTAAAGGTTGGTTGACATATCTCTCACCAACTCCTATTCCAGTCTGTGTGTTAATGAGGGTAGAACCACAGCTACTTGTTTGTATCTGTGCCCCATTCCTGTGCTATAGGAGCTGCAAAGTGCCTGGCACATACTGGATAGACGCTCACAGCTGCCAACATGCCTATTGCAGTGAAACCAGCTTCAAAGTAAGTATTCTGCAACCCCAGGAGAAAGGCAGTGACTCAGAGTGACTGAATCTAGTCACCAAGCCCACCAAACCCAAATCCCTCATGACCACACCCAACCACTTTCAAACAAATTGTGGGAAAGGTGCAAACAATGTGATGAATAGAAATGGGTGTTTTTAGCCCTAAACACTCAAAGGCATCATGAAGGTTCTGTATGAACAGAAAAGCAATAATTTTAGCAGAAAGAGCATTGAACTGGAGTCTTTAAAAAATTCTCTTCCAGGGTCAGACCTTCCCTTAGCTAACTCTTTGACCTTTAGGAAAATCCCTCCATCTCCTTGGGTTTCACGTGTAACATTAAATTATCAGGCTCTTCTTCTTCCTAGTTAATAGAGCACCATACTAGAAATCAGGCACTGATGCACGATAAGCCAGAGAAGTCTGTGTGCCCAGCACTGCCTGACTAATTTACATCTTAACTCATTTAATCTTTGCCACAACCCTGAGAGATGCAAACAGTGAGGAAACTGACACACAGGCTGGTGGAGTGACTTGACAAGAATGTGTAGCAGGCGGCAGAGGCAGGATTTGAACACAGGCAGTCTAGAGCTGAGCCGGTGTGGCCCACTCACTGTGTGGCTCATGGGTACAGCTTCTCTATGTTTGTGAAAGTAATCAATATCTTAGGACTTTGTCAAAACAAGATTACTATATTCCTCCTGTCTGAATGCTTTTCCAGTACCTCTCGCTCACACCATCATTCCATTAACTCCTGTGTATCTTTCAGATGTCAAATTGAATGTCACTTCCTTGGGGAAATCTCTCCTCGACCACATGTCTTAATAGCACTACTTATCTTTCTTTTAGGGCATTTATCACAATTTCTAATTATCTGTTGATTTGTGTGCTCACATGATTAAAGTCTTGGTGTCCAGCACGTCCCCCAAGACACTCAGCTCCACGAGGCCAAGGGCAGTGCCTCCCGCACCAGCACCGTGCAAAGTGCAAGGAAACGCTCAGCAACTACTTGTCAGCCAAGTTCTTGCCAAGGACACTTGAGTCAAGTTCAAATCTCCAGTTAGTTGAGAAATGTTCAGAAAATTTTATACACACACATACATATATATAGTCATGAGTCACTTCTGATGCTATATTCTAAGTAATGTATCATTAAGTGATTTCATCATTATGCAAACATAATAACATGTACTTACGGATGGTGATATGATCATTGGGTGATATAATCTTTTGGGACCACTGTCATACACTGTTGTTGACTGAAATGTTATTTGGTGTATGACTATGTATATTTTGTTCTGAATTTTCAACATACTAAATACATACTGAATTCTAAAGTTCTAAATTACTTATATATGCATATATAAAGCGAATCTCAGCACTTAAGTACCCAAACATTCAAAAGCAACTAATTCTGGAAAAACTGGCTTTCCACATGTCAAAGACTACAACTACATCCATGTCGCTCACCATGTACTAAACTAAAATTGAAATGGATCAAAGAAAGATCTAAATATTAAAACAGAAACACTAAATCTGCTGGAAGAGAGAATAGGTAGAACTCTTGAAGACATAGGCATAAGCAAAGATTTCATGAACAAAACCCCAGCAGCATGGGAAATACTACAGCAAATCAACAACTGGGATGTCATCCTATTAAAAAGCTTTTGCACAGCAAAAGAAATTACCAATTGAGTGAAAAGACAACCCAGAGAGTCAGGAAAAATTTTAGCCAGTTTTCTCTCAGACAAAGGACTAATATCTAAAACATATTATAAAGAATGGAAAAATATCAGAACCCCCAAATTTAAAGAACCAATCTAAAAATGGGTATCTGAGATGAATATACACTTTTCAGAGGAAGAAATACAAATGGCAAATAAATATATGAAAAAATGTTCAACATTATTTGAGAGATGCAAATTAAAACAACACTGAGATTCCATCTCACTCCAGAAAGAATAGCTATCATCAAGAAATCAACCAATAACAAATGCTGGAGGAGTTGTGGGGAAAAAGGAACACTTCTCCACTGTTTATGGAAGTGTAGACTGGTGCAACCACTATGGAAATCAGATTCCCAAAAAAACTGGGAGTAGAGGTTCTATTTGCCCCAGCTATTCCCCTTCTGGGTATCTTGCTCAAAGAATAAAAAACATCATACCACAGAAATATATGTGCACCCATGTTTACAGCAGCACAGTTTATAATAGGTAAATCTTGGAAACAACCCAAGTGCCCATCAACCAAGAAATGGATTAAAAAAGTGGGTTTTTTTCAATACAGTGGAGTACTACTCTACCATAAAGAAAGATAAACTTGAGACATTTCTAGGTAAATGGATGCACCTTGAGACTCTACTCCTAAGTGAAATAAATTGGACACACAAGTGTAAATATCACTGTTTCTCTGGTGTGAGAAACCAAAAGTGTAAATAAAGACCAAAGTGTACAATAGGTACTGTGAAATACCTATTATACATGTGCACAGTGGGCTGTTTGTATCATTGAAATCTCTAAAAAGTTCACTATCACTGGTGGAGAAACTGTTCAAATGAAAGGGGAACTAGGGAGGGGTGAAGAGGAACAGAAGAAAAGGAAATTTTCTTAAAATGATAAAATGGAAACAGAGCTTTGTAAATAAGGAGGGGAAGAGGGGTTTAAGGGAGGAGAATGAGAAAAAAAGAAGAACCAAGATATATCATATCCAGTTACAAATTCCCCATGATGCACATGATCATTATGTATATCTAAATTGTACCAATAAACTTAATATTTAAAAAGTACCTTAAGCACCTTGGTAGTAGATACAATTTAAACTCTCACCCCCACCCTGCTATCTTTTCTTTCCAAATACTGATTTATATCCTTAGCAGATATTCTTGAGATAAATCTGCATAGTAAATTATCTCATATATTGCCC